CATTTATAGTTTCAATATGATATCCATTATGACGTATATCTTTATAACTCAACAGATTTCTTCTGAATCTAGTTGACTACAAAACATCATTAATATATAATTTTGTTCCACATGGTAACAAAATATTAGCTCTTCCAAATCCTTCAATCAAGTCTGCAGATCCTGATATTGTATTTACACTAGCTTTAGCGAATGTTATATGAGAGAAATATTTTATTTTTGAAGGATAGTGTGCGTTGTTGCACTGTCTGCTAAACAGATATCTTCATCAGATTTCTTGAACTTAGTTCCAAAATCCTTGCTTCTTCATACACACAAAATATATATTTCATTAATTCAAACATGAAATTACAAATTATATAAAAACATACAAGATAATAAAAACATACTGGTACAATCAAGATAGAAACACACTGATATAACGAAAATTTAAGTATACTGATACAGACAAAATAAAACACACCAGGAATAACATGTTAAGGTAGAACACATTAATTGATATGGATATTTCCATCACCAATCAAATTTTCATCACTAATCAGATTTCCATCACCAATCAAACAATCAATCCTACCACTAGGATCAACAAAGAAGTCAGAAACATCAAGGTGAGTTTTATCAATTGTCATGTTATCATCAACAAAATTCATTTCGATTTCCTTTCCCTTTCCCTTATCATTTATTGAGGCACGGTAAAGATTTGCTAGATGTTTGGGTGTATGGCAGGTACGCGACCAATGCCTTTTCATTCCACATCTATAGCAAGGCTTGTTATTATATATCACAGGAGCTTTGTTCCGCAAAGCTCTTCTTTTTGCCTGTTTAATCGCATTTGAATTCCACTTCTAATGGAATGGTTTGAAGTTCCTTCTGGGAACTATGAGGAATTATGACTACCATGATTATGATAATTATTTCTATTGCGACCATATTCACGACCACCACTATGTCCACGTCCATGTTCACATTCGTGAAATGAGGACACATTCGCTTCTGGGAATAGTACAGATCCAGTCGGACGGAACTAGTAATTTTTATGCAAAAGCTCATTATTTAGTTCAGCTAACAACAAACAAGAAATCAGCTCAGAATATTTTGTAAATCTTTGCTCTCTATATTGCTGCTGCAGGAGCACATTTGATGCATGAAATGTGGAATATGTTTTTTCCAACATATCATCATCAGTAATTTTTTCTCCACACAATTTCAATTGTGAGCTGATTTTAAACAATACTGAATTGTATTCGCTTACACTTTTAAAATCCTACAATCGTAGGTGGATCTAGTCATAACGAGCATTTGGAAGAATAACAGTTTTCTGATGCTCATATCTTTCCTTCAAATTGTTCCACAATGTAAGTGGATCCTTGACCGTGAGGTATTTTGTTTTTAATTCCTTATGGATATGATGACGAAGAAATATCATAGTTTTCGCACGGTCCTGCAAAGACGCATTATTTTCTTCCGTAATAGTATCTCCAAGATTCATTGCATCCAAATGGATTTCCGCATCAAGGATCCAAGATAAGTAGTTTTTGCCTGAGATATCAAGGGCAACAAATTCAAGCTTGATAAGATTCGACATTATCATGAAATTATAAATGATAAAATAATATAGTTAGAATTATTTCATCATAATCGAACTGATCTATGCATCATAATAAAAATAATAATAATAATAATCAATTTGAGATTCTTAAAATACCTCAGTCGATCACTATAATATGATTTGTATAGTGGTGATACAATATATATAAATAACAATCAATTTATATTCGCAATGGAACAAGTGGCTTGGTGACTCGTTAACTTAGTTGGCACATAATATATTGGGTTAATTACAATGACACCTCCTGAAATTTGTCTTATTGACAACTATATACAAATTAATCATTTTTCATACAATGACACCCCCTATCATTCTTTTGATCTAAACAAACCCTTTAAAAGTTTGAAAAGACAATATTATCTATCAATACATGATTGATTTTAATTGCAAAATATAAGAGGTTTGAACAGACACTTTTGCCCTTTCTCACCTAACCCATTAATTTAATCTCTTTCTCAAACATTCAGAACCAAATGTCTATTCATTTCTCTCTCCAACTTCTGCAATAACATAATGAAACCATAATCCCTAGTTTTTAACCCGAGTTGCACTGATGGTGGACGAACCTGATTAATAAAGAATCTAGTTATGGGGTTTTTCATCGGCAGTGGAGCCTGGACTGGATTGTGAGTCCGAGGAGTCCTCTGTTTTTGGGTAGTTGTTCACCGCCGGTGATCTTCAACCTGGCCAGCCGCTGCGTATTTCACATTCCAATCGTTGTTGTTATTAGGGTTTCATTTTAAAATTTTTGGTTCGACTTTGTAGATCCATTGGGTTTTATATATATATATATATATATATATATATGTACATAACAGAGAAGATCAGTTTACAGTTCTTGCTCAGTTTAGATTTATATTATATATATATAATATAAATAATATAAATCCATTGGGTTATATATATATAAATGAGTAGATCCATTGGGTATAAACGCCGCCCCTTTGTGCTCACCATGCACACACAGCAGTTATTATACCCTCCACCTTCACCACCGCCTCCACCGTGGTCTTCTTCTTCCTCCTCCTCCTCCTCCGCCTCCATTTCCATTATCTCATCATCATCCATCATATATGCCAAACCATCTAACCCCATTTCTCTGTCTGTCTCCGCCAACAATGCCATCAATGACACCCTCACCGGCGACTCCCCACCCGCCTCCACCACCACCGCCTCTATCGATGACTCGCCATCCCTTGTTATTCGGAACTGAATTTGTTTCCACCAATCCGTTGTTAATTGCCGGGGACGTTGACATTTGGGGTTGAATTTGATTTTGCGTGTTCACAGAACTAGTTGAGTTTCGTCGAGATACTATCACTCTGTTCTGAACCCGAACGTCGGAGCGCGGAACTGGAAGGGTGGTGATCCAGGCAGCGCCAGCGCGGCGGAGTCGGAGCTTGTTCCTGAAGACTTTTCAGCTCTTCTTGTTGTTCTTGAAACCGCCGTTGCGGTCGTCTCGGATGATGTCGAGGAGCGTCCGGTTAACTGGCGCCGCTCTCTTCTCGCTCTCCAGGATTGTGCTTAGAGTTAGTCCGGCCAGCGAATTAAGGCTTTCTTCTTCGTCTCTCACTCGAAAGTTCAATGAGTCGATTCCTTCGCCCAAGTGCGATCTCCTTCTTCGACCACCATTGGGTTATATATATATTTATATATGTTCATATATGTACATAACAGAGATGATCAGTTTACATTGGGCCTTGTTTAGTTTGGATTTCTCGCCCGTCCAATATCCATTGGGTTATATATATAAAAAATTTCACAGTTCTTGTTCAGTTTGGATTTATATTATATGGGTATGGTGAACTCTGTGATACACAGAGAGAGATCTATATATATGGGTCCTGTATTTTTTTTTGCGTGAAAGGTTTATATACGGTTATTTTGGTCCATACATATAGTCTGAAAAAGGTTAAAAGAGTAATTATATTATTCAAGTAGGTCAATTAACAAGTCAAAGGGTAATAGTGTCAATTCACTATGTGTTAAAGGTAATTAAGGTGTCTTTGTTAACTTTATGAAACTTAAGGGTATCATTGTTAAAAAATGGGTTAACTTATATAGTTGGATTTCATGCCAATAAATTTTACGAAATTTCAAAAAAGACCAATTAGCCCAACAGGGAAAACAAAAGAACTAGACTAGCCCACATGGATGGGCAAGTGAAAAGGGTTTTTTTTTGGAGGGCTGATATTTCCGAAGTTTTTAAACCATCTTAAAATTCGAAGTAACTAGTAAGTCGGTTGATTTTTTATTACCACAAAAGAAAAATAAAAATAAAAATAAAAATAAAAATAAAAATAAAACAAACCTACTACCAGACAGCTTTAAATGGGACAGGCTCAGTGAGCCCAAACCAAAAAGATGTTACGAGGGTCAATGCCAATTCTAACAGCCAATTGAGATTCAAGTACGGATATGAACAATTCCAGTGCAATCGGTTTGGATTGACTAGTCAGGTTTATTTGTGTTGGAGTGCAATCAGTTTTTAGTCTCAATTTTGTTTAACCTGATTCCATCCTAATTATTACATTTATTTATTATATATATATATATATATATATATATATATATATTAGGGATCCAGAAAACGAAATCTTGTTATTTTAAATAATCATTTGTCTTGAATTATCACCATTATACTTTCATTTCCAATATTTTATTGTATTTACATTCCATATATTAAATTTAGCTCTTTTGATTCTAAACCTTTCAATTTATGCTATGTTCGGGAGCATCAGCATTTTGAATTTAGAATTAGAGGAACAATTTGGTACTTCTAAATGCAACATGATATATATTTCCATGTATTTACTAGCTTTTTTGCTAGAATTCCTTATAAATCTAAAAGAACAATATTACCAGTAAACAATATGAACCATGGAATGTCTTGTATAAAATTTAACTAATATAAGGTTTGGTTTTCTGTCTAAGGATGGAAGAGGTCTGGGATATATATTATATTTGTTGCAAATAGTTATCCGTGTGCTTTTTAGGAACAGTATCGAACGGTTGAAGATCTGCCTAATTGTGTTTTCTTAACTGCTGTGGACGGCTAGGATTGACTCTGGGTTATGAGTCGGATAGTGAGGCTTGAATGTTCAATTATTATTGGTCCAAAATGTTACCACTGTTTATATATGCCATTATGGTGCTTTTGCAAAGTTAAAATCATGATTGAGTAGGATTTATTTCCTCCTTAAAATGCCCTTTACTTTGGAATAAATTTGTACTCTTGTTCTTTATTTTGGTCATATAAAAAATTTTGTTGCTCTTGTACTGGAATATACAGTATATATTCAAAACAGAAACTTGTTGGACCAAAAGTGCAAGAGAACCTGAAATTACACCATTTTAATTCATTCCTGTCCTTTAACAATCATTCTAAGCTTCACTGAATGTTGAGTTCAATGTGATCCCCAGAAGATGAAGCTCTCTGTGGAATTCTAGTTTCTGCATTACTCAAATATCGGGGGATTCTCCTCTTCATAATTAGGTAGAGTAGAAGACAAATGGTGGAAGTGGCTGCAGAGATTATATATAGACCCAAGAAGCCCTGAATGCTCAAGCTATCACTGTTTTTAGTAGCTCGGAATTTTGAACACTCTGAGGAGGGATCAAACAACTCTTTCTCTAATTCATTTAGCCTCCCATTTTCTGATATGTCAAGAATGGCTTCAGAAACAAGAGCAGCTAATCGAGAACCTATTTGGAAGGGAAGACCTGCATGACAATAATTTAATCACAATTAGTTACCGTAAGTTCATAAACAGAGTTGTCATTCTATATTAAATTTTTTATTCGAGATTAATTATGCAAAGATCAATAAAATGAGTCGAAGACATTCAAAGCAGAGCTGAAACAATTGCCTGCAGTATGTGTTTTTTTTTTTTTTTTTTAGTGTAGCAGTTAACTATGTGATACTAGAGAATGAAAAGAGTGCAAAGAGTTCCACCACTACTCACGAAGCCGAATCCTCCAAATCTGCTGGTGAATGATCCGTACTCGTACCGATTGCAGTATTGGTTGACAAAAACTTTGGCATACGGGACTTCAAGAAATGCTGCTGAAATATTGCCATTCTCGAATGCCCTCAGGTACTCGCTTTGGTTTCTGATGTGGATGATGTTCTCTGGTTTAAATTTATACACATCCTCCAAGTATTTTCTAACAAATGTACCACCATTGCATGCAGCACACCCCACTCTTACATTTGTCCTCTGTAGCCGCTCGATATCTGTCATAGTTGGCCGGAGTCTTGAAAAGGTGAGCATTGAAGTGAGGCTGGCAGTGTAGCTATGTGTTAAGATCAACACCACAAAAAGCCACACCACGATCACGGATCGAGTGTAGTAGTTTTGAATCTTCTCCCCTTCAAAAAAAAAAAAAAATGAAGAAGAATAAGAAGGTGTATCCACTGCCAATCATGATTTGGAGAGAATTCAAAGAAAATAGACTTCATGCTACCATTAGCCTAATTAGGGGGTATATAACTTATATATAATAATATAAGTTACTGTGAACAAAGAATAGAGTAGAGAAGGTGAACCAAAGCACATTGCCAAGTTGTTCCTTCCATGGGCCACTAAATTCTGGGTTGGAACGTTGCTCCAAGAACCAAACTATGAGGATTGTGTAGATGAAGATGATCCCGTAGCCACCCACATTTCCATGATGAAGGGCTTCAGAAACAACCATGCTTTCGAAGCATCAGGCTTCACTGGAACTACCATCGACAAACCTGACTCCATAAATGGCACACTAAATTCCACTAGGCTCCAACGCTTTGCTATTATCATTATGTCACCAACAGTAGCATCAAAAGTCTTCAATCAATTTTGAACCACAAGTAAAAACACAGACATGTTTATCGATCAGTAACATGTAGTTGGAGGTTGTGGATAGATAGATAGAGGTGCATGAAACTTGTCTACTTAACTCGAAATTAAATGGTTATAACTAAATTGACAAATGTATGAAAATGATGAAGAGATTAGATGATGTGTGAATTACCTTGTTATGAACAGATTCAACCAAATCATTGTAGCTGCCATCGTACTCTTGAAATTCATCGGGAGATGGCAGATGAATGTCATAACGTCACTCTAAAATTGTTCGCACCTCCTTATAAAGACTGATAATAAAACCAGACTTCTCATCCGGTCCCGCATTGAGGAACTTCTTAAAAGAGACTCTACCAGGAACTGCAATTTTCATGGGTGCCCATCGTCCTGGGATTCTCTCTGGATTCCCAGGCCATATCACCTCTGCGAAACCACCCAACTCTTCCAAGTTATCAATTTTTTTGGTACCTGCAAGGCTATCCGAGAACCTGGACTCTGATGACCAAAAGCCAAGCTTTTTGTATTCCTGATTGGCAATGTTCACTATACTGAATTTTTGAGAGCTTGATAGTACTCTACCCTCTTGAAAACGCATTTCTCCACTTAAACCAGTGAAGTTGCTCGATAAAATACTATCCCCCAACATATTTGAGGAGCTCATTTTACCATCTGATTTCATCATTGCCTGTGTCAAAGTCATAATGCTATCATAATTAAGCTCGTAGCGCATGAATTCCCGGCAAAGACTTATCTTCCTCAGGATAAGCTGACTGGAATTTTTGGTGAAACTGCTCACTGAAGTCTTTGAAAGAAGTACTGTTTTCACAGTAGGGCTTGATTACAAGTGCACCTTCCATGGCAAAGATAACAGGAGGGCTGACAGAATTCAGAAGGCTTGATGTGGTGTCTGCAATTATCCACACCGAGTCTTTTCGCATAAATCCCTTCTTCTTTGCTATTTTGAACAAAATATTTGTCAGCGGCAGTGATGACTGAAGAAAAATAAACACCCTAGATTTTGTGCTGCTTTCTAACTTAGACAACTCTTTATTAACAATTTTTTCCTGATCAGGTTCAGATAGATAAGAAAATGGTGGAAGGACAAGATGATAGTCTATATCCGCAGTCGACCCATTCTTTTTAAGGGCCTTGGATAACATGGTTAACTTCCCGGAATCACCACCATGGATGTCTTCTTCATAGACATCTACAACACTCTGCCATGTGAAGGATTGAACAATATCTGCAATGCAATTTATTTTTTCGTAGCCATTGGTAACCATTTGCACCAAGAAAGGCCATCGAAGCCGCACCAATTCGGATGTAATAGCAGCAGCTGCAAATGAAAGAACTGGGACTTGAGTTCGGTTTCCAATGTCTGCCACTAAAGCCGCTTCCTCCCATGTCTCCATGCCCATAATCACTTGGACTTTCTTCTCCTTAATCAGCTCCTCAGCAGCATCAAACATTCAGAAACCCCAATTAAAAATATTAATATATATAATTATATACTAGGATACTGTATCTAGCTTGAAACCAAAAAATAAATCCAAGTAAAACAAATAATAACTAGAATCCACATATTCATGTGGTTATTTCCCTTTCGTGCATGTTGTTAACTGTATACCTAGCTACTTATTTGACTTGAATAGATTTATTCTAATTTTGTTACACTTGTCTTAGATTATAACTAGCGATCAATATGAACAGGAAAAAGCATGCATTCAATACTGTTACATATATATGTATGACTTGATTATAAGAGATAATTTCAGAAAATGCGAAGAAGATAACTAACTAACCAGCATAGGCAGATCGGTTGGGGTCACTGCTAGAATTTCGGAGATGAAGAGATAACTTGTGAAACTTGGACTTCTTGTTCAAGTTCTGCAGAGCTATATATATTCATGGCCATTTTTTGTTCTTTGCCGATACGAGAATCAACATCAATGATGGCACCGATATGTAGGATTACTTTGTCAGCTTCAGCAATGGACCCATGAGAGAGAATGAGAAGGAAGGAGATGAATACATGGAACAACAAAAAAGTGGGTTTAAAATTAGCAATATTAAAGTTGGAGATGAGTGGTTGGAAAGTCATTTTTTGGCTTTAAAATACGTAGTGGCACAATCATATTCGCATGGTTCTAAATAAGCTTATTATATATACTTTCGATGGACGCAGTTATTTTAAATAATATATTTATTTATATATATACATGACGGTCCATGCATAGGAGATAGGACTAATTCTTCATATATATATATATATATAGGTTCAAAGGTGGCTCAACATGCAGAAATGCCAAGTAAAGATCTGTTCAAACTTCATTTTATTTTGAAAAGTAATCATACGAGTAGTATCGATAATTTCCCTGTCTAACCAATCAAATCAAGAATTTCATAAGATTACTTTTATAAGAGGAAGTGATGTACATGTTCGTCATTTGTTACTGCAATAATATATATGTGGTTTCTTTTCTTTTTTTTCTTTTTTTTTTTTTTTTTTTTTTTTTTTTTGTAATTCTTTCAAAAGTATATATATGATTTAACATTATCATATTTAAAACCATGATTCATGAAACCATGATTTAACATTATCATATTTAAAACCATGATTCATGAAAAATATATATATAACAAATCGGAAAATACTTGCTTATTATTTATCAATCATCTTGCCTTAAAAACAAATGTCTTCTAGAATGCGTTTCTCATGCATATCCTTGGAACGTACTCAGGGTTGGACTGTAGATTCAGATTCTGGTATATAATTCGACGCGCGCGGGTTTGAACACAAGCCTATGACGAGAGAGAGTGGCAGATAGATATTCTTTCAGTGACTGTGACCTTCACGTCTTAGCCAAGGAATTATATATAGTCGGATGAAAAATCAACAAAAAGAATCCAAAACTTGGATGTTAAATTCCAGAGAACTGGTCAATTGGCGCTAAGTACCATCAATGTGATAGAGAGAATGTAAAGTCTAATTTATTGTAATTCATTGCATCACTTGGAAATGGTGTGAATGCAGTTGTGTCTGCTGGAATTGTAAGGTGGTGTAGTTTAAGACTTTAAGCTATACTTCCACACTTTTCAAAATAGAAAGTTCAGGATTGAAGTCTCCTTCGAGACAATGCTTAGTTTGTGAGTAAGTTTCTTAGAGAAAATGACATTCATGCGCGCTGAAGTATCCCAACCCAATACCATAACAGTTTCATTACTCTGAAAAAAAAAAACCCAACCCATTACTATTTTAGAACACTCAAGCCCATATTCTATTAAGTACAACCCTACTCTCTTTGATTTTGGATGCAAACCTTAGCCGGCACCCAAGTTACCAGCGATGGAGCTCTTGTTGTATATTAATGTATTTCAAAATACGTATATATTTTCTAACATTCTTATATCCACGGTAGCCTATTATTATGTCACTACATATAATGTTATGACTCATATATATATATATATATATATATATATATATAATTAAGTGCGTGGTGAAGAATAAAAAATAAAAAAATAAAAAAAAATTTATTAAAAGGGGTGCGACCCACAGAGATTTTTTTTAAAGAAGAGAGGCCAAAGGCCACTTTTGGCCACATTTTTTCCTTCTTTTCTCTCTCTCCCAATCTAGTTCTATCTCCCTCCTTTCTGTTTTTTTTTTTTTCTTTTGCAAAATTCAAACTTTAATTTCTCTTTCATCCCTTGGAGTTTTTGAGTGTTGTTTGCGGCAAATCGAAGAGCTTTGTGAGATCTTCAAGTTGATCTAAGCAATTTCAGCTTTTGGCCACTCTAAGAATTCCGAAAATTTGAACCCATTTGAGGGTTTTCTACAAAATTGAGATAGGGGTGTTCTAATACCCATTTCTTTGAGCTTTGTGAGTAAATCTCCTTTAATTGATGTACAAGCATGCTTATATTGTGCTAAATTCTTGAGATGTAATTTATAAATTGTATACATGAATTTTTTTATGTTGTAGAAAGTGTGTAATTATGTGATAGCCGCCTTGTTGAGATGATACATGCTTAAGTGATGTTAATTTAAGCCTTATGTATTTAAGTTGTTGGATTTGTAAATTGAAAGTATGTAAAATGACATGAATTAGAAATGTGAAAATGTGATATTGTGTAGAAATTTATGTTTTAAACATGTCTAATTAATGTGCATGATATGTACGAAATTTTTATATTGTCATAGCATTCAAGGAATTGCATAATTCATGCATTACCATTGGGAAAGTAAAGAGAAAAGTCTATTTTAAAAATAAATGAAATTATTTTTAAGAAAATATTTTCAAAGGTGTTTGCGAAAACCGGACGCCTAGGAGGCACCTAGTAGTCCGTGTTATTAGTGTAGTCTAGAAGGGAGTATGGTTGAGCTAACTAGCCGGATGCAACGCCTTAGAGGTACCTTGTGGTCGTGGATAGTTAGTCAACCCTCCATTCATGACGCCTTGGATCGGATTGCAGTAACGGTTTAGAAGTTGAAAATGTATTGTTTTGGAAATGGGGAGTGACATTGCATGGCATGGCATTGCGTTGGCATACATTGTATATTTGGTGGTTAGACGACTTGCGTATGTATTTGCTGATATCACCGTTGTTTTACTTGCTTTCCCCGAGGCATGATCCCATTTACTTGTATTCTATTCCTTGTATGGATTCACAGAGTCATAAGAGGTGTGTCTTAGACACCTCTTACTGAGCGGTTGATTTACCCCATTCTATTATTAATATTTTTCAAAATACGAAAGGGAAGTGGCGGACGACGCTCCTCCACAGTTTTTGACGGGTTAGTGGACTGTTTTGACATATTTTATAGCTATGATCCCATTATTATTATTATTATTATTATTATTATTATTATGTATTGACATAGGAAAGGACGGTAGTGTCCTTATTTGACCTCGGGTTCGGATAAGGACCCGGTTAGCGATTCGGACCATCGAGTTCGGGTTGTTACAAATTTGGTATCAGAGCAATGGTTCGAAAACCAGTAGGACGACGGTTAGAGGCCTACCTAGGGTTGTGTGGAAGGTGGATTGCATTATTTATGTGCTTATGTGTTAAAGTATTTGTTATCTGAGAAGCATGCTTACTTGCTTAATTGTTTATGTGTTTACGGTTTTAAAAGGCATACTTATTTGCTAAGTGTTCACATGCTTACATGTTTAGTTGCTAAAATGTGTGTTATATGGCCATGACGATGAAATGTATAAATAATTAAAAGTATGTTAATTATGATATGATGACAAGTGTGATTTTGGTGGTAACGGCAAGTGGTAGGCACAGTGTGTGCAGTTTTATTTTAAATAATAATGTGGCAAATAGTGAGTATGGTAGATGCAAGCATGTCTCGTATGGTATTGTAACGGTTATTTAAGCACGGTTTATGCAAGTATTTTTTTTTTTTAAAAAAAAGGAAAAACGGGGTGTTTAAATTTTAAATGAAGGGACACGATTGTATTATGGTATGGGGTACGGTAGAATACTTGTTGCGGTATAAATGCTTGTGTGAGTTTTGACCTGAGTAGGCGAGGAGCTCTGTTGCTCCAGTGTTGTTTGGGGTGTCAGTTCTTATCGAACGGGTGGCTTGGACTTCTAGCTCGTGGATTGAGCTATTTAGTATGTAGTAATCCAATTTTTTTTTGTTGCATTTGTGCGGTACTTAGAGCACGACTTTAGAACGGGTCCGTA